ATCATCTCCATCGAAGGCCGAACCGACTGATAAACTGCTTACTTTGGACCAGCCGGGAGGGACGAAAGAGCCCAAGGAAGAAGCAATGTTAAAGACTAAAGATGTCGAGATCGCGGTAACACCAGTGTACTACCACGAGAGCGGAAATTTGTTTGCTGAAGATATCGAGCAGCACATGGCAGTGTTACCAGAAATATCGGCGACTACAGAAGAAGTGACGATTGAAGATATTCAGATCGGAGATCCAAATGTGCCTCTCACCACAGATCAACAGCGGCTCAGATTGCTGATCTGGAAGAGCCGTCACCTCCTCATGGGTAAAGGTAATGCTCTACCACCAGCAGCACGGGGCGCGATCTGTGATATTGATGTCGGTGGGGCAGCACCGATAGCGCAAAGAGTACGTCCGGTCGCACCTAAATATCCGGAGAAGCTGTCAGATCTTATCAAAGGGCTGTTAGCGGCCAAGATCGTTAGCCATCCACGTCACCTTGAGCGTCTCCGATAGTGGTGATCATCAAGAAGAACGGAGTGGATATTCGCCTTTGTATTGATTATCGAAGAGTGAATCAGCTGACACGTCTAATGGTTTATCCCATGCCGTTGATCAGCGATCTGCTGGAAGACCTGGATAAAACCCTATGGTACTGTTCGTTAGACATGGCTAGTCGTTTCTGGGTCGTGGAAATAACCGAACGAGCAAAAATGATCTCAGCGTTTGTCACGCCGTTTGGTCTTTTCGAGTGGTTGCGAATGTCTTTTGGGCTTAAGAACGCGCCCCAGATCTACCAACGTCTGGTCGACAATGCGCTGTATGGATACCTCAAGATCGGCCAGATGATCTATCTCTGACGGCCAGATCGACGTGTTCAAGGACGGCGAACCTGAGACAGATCGGCGATCTTCTATACTGGGACGCCGATCTTACATTGATGACATCCTCATACCAGCCACCTCATGTAAATCTCTGTACGCGAAAGTAGAGCGATTGCTGGAAGCATGTGATAAGTGGAATCTGTCTATCAGTCTCACTAAGAGTTTTTGGAGGTGCCGTAAAGTCGATGTTTTGGGACATCGAGTGTCTGCGGATGGTCTGGAGGCTTGGCCCAAGAACTTGGAGTCGTTGATCAACATCCCATTCCCTAGCACGCTACGAGATATGCAATCTTTTCTCGGGAGCTTGAACTACTACCGTCGCTTCATTGAGGATTTCACGTTGTATGTCGCGGTATTGTATGAGTTAAGAGAATCGGATTTCTTCGAGATCGGCCGATCTCAGCTTGCAACAGGTGACGAATGGTCGACCGAGGGTCGATGGAAGGAGTCCAAGGTTGCTTTCACTATGCTAAAGGCTAAGATAGCTACAGCTCCCATGCTCAAACACTTCGACCCGGATCGCCCTCCCGTGATTGTGGTCTATGCTAGCAAGTGGGCTGTTTCAGCGGCCCTGATACAAGAGTACGATGGTGTGTATCATCCAATGAAATTTACAAGCCGCACGTTGAAGCCAAATGAGCCTAACTACGGAACGGTGGAAAAAGAAGTGCTGGCGCTACTTCGTGTCTTGAATGTATGCTATACTACGCTTGCCTCGCGGGAGATCACTGTGCTGACCCGACATTCTACGTTAGCGTGGTTGATGCAATCTCGAGGACTCAACGGGAGATTAGGACGGTGGGCTGCTTTGTTGTCAAACTGGACTATGGAGGTGAAGAAATGTGAGCGAGGAGAGGAAGAAGTCCTGGGCATGATGGCAGCGAGTATCACCCCAAGAGATGAAATAGAAGAGATGCTGATCGCGATTTCCCCACGTAAAGACTGCCGACTCACGATATCAACACCACCACCAACGGTGGAAGCAGATGAGAAGTTGCTGGTGGCCAGCTTCGATGGATCGGCGGGGATAAAAAAGAAAGGAGGGTCGTCCAGTGCGGTGATATGGAGGTTACCCGAGTGGACGATCGCGGCAGCAGAATCGAGATATGCTCCCAATCTGACTGTGAATGAAGCAGAGTATAATGGCTTGCTACTGTGCTTTGAGTTACTCGCCGATCTGGGCAGGGGGCGAGTAATTCTGTGTGGAAATTCTAATTTGGTGATATGACAGATGCGCGGTGAAATCGACTGCAAGGCACCGGGCCTTCAACTACTGAGGCAAAAAGCGTTGGTGAAGCTGCGATCATGGCCTAGTCACGAGTTTCTGCATATGAAGCGAGAGTGGAACCAGAGCGCAGATAGACTAGCCAGCACAGCAATGCAGAACGAAAAGGGAAGAATTGTTATAGCTGAAGAAGATCGGCAAGATCTGATAACTCTGAACCGTCTCGATGAATTGATGAAGCCCAAGCAAGATAGTCAGCTGGCTCGGATAACTGCGATCACGAGATCAGCCGGGAGGTTACGTCATGAACCTGAAGTGGTACAGGAGGAGATAGTACAGAGGATTAGGGTACAACAAATTGTCCAAGCTCAAGATGAGGAGTGTTGGATTGTCAATCTCAAGATGTATCTAAATGGCGATGTATCAAACTTAGACGCGGGAGAGGTGAAGATGTGTGCAAAACTGGCGCCAGAGTATGAGATCGATGAGATCTGCTATTTTTCTGCCCCATGGCGAAAAGAGAGTCAAGAGATCGCGATGGTTTGATGCGGTTGGTGATCCCTGAGATGTTGCAACAGGATTTTTTACATCACTACCATACGAGTCTGGAAGGAGGCCATCAGAATATCGGTAGAACTTATCAGAGGATCAGATCGCGATTCCATTGGAGAGGACTATATCGGAGTGTTCAAAGATATGTGGGCGAATGTACATATCTATAAAACGGTATAAGGAAGCCCGACGATTCATGGGAGATCCCCGGGAAACTTACACGTAACCTATCCATTCCAGATCATCGCAATGGATCATATACCGTAGTTGCCCAAGCCTATCAAGGGGAATACCGAACTGCTCATTTGGGTGGACCTCTTCTCGGGATATGTGATTGCAAATGCTAGCTCATCACGAACAGTACAAACAATAACGGAGAATTACGAAGAATGTGTGTTTCGACGCTTCGGAGCTAGCGAGGCTATCAGACACGATCGAGAACCGGGATTTATGTCCAATTTTTTTCGAGCCTTCAGCCGGATCGTAGGACAGAAACAGCGTGCTACTATGGCCTACAGGCCACAAGTAAATGGAACAGCCGAACGAATGGTGCAAATCTTGACGCCTTCGCTCAAGATGTACGTGGCTGAAGTGAATTAACGGAACTGGGATGAGTATGCTGAGCGACTCGCATTTGCAATTAACACCGCACAAGATCGGATTCGGGGGGGACACCCCATTCTATCTGATTCATGGGTGGGATCCACGATCGACGTTTAAAGCTACGTTATCAGTGGGGAACACGAGAACAAGGGATCGCGATCTGAAGCGGTGATGGCATAGTACCCAAAGACAATACCAGCGAGCTCGATCCGCAGTGAACGATCAACTACGAGCTGCGATTCAAGAGAGGGCAGATCGACATAATGAAGATTTGGAGCGACATGAGATCGAAGTGGGAACGCAAGTTTGGCTATACCTGGATCGAGTCAAAGAGGGATATGCGAAGAAGCTAGCGCATATGTGGCATGGTCCATTCCGAGTTGCGGACATTTGTGGAGATCACGCTGTGAAATTGGAGATCGCCGGAACTCCGTATCGATTATTTCCGATTGTACATTTGTCGAAGCTAAAAAAGGTAAAAACGTTCCCTGAACGGCCGAAGGATCAGCTTACGACAGACGAAGCAGAGCGCTTGAATTTCGATGAGGCTCTGCTGCCAGAAGATAGTTTGAAGAGTGAGCTTGAAGAAGGAGAGTACGAAGTAGAAGAAATATTGGACGTGCGATCTGGTAGGAAAACCCGTTCTGGGCGAGTACAGCGACAGTTTCTGATGAAGTGGAAGGCACATCCCAATCTGAGTTGGGTGTATGAGGCCGATCTGAGTTGAAGGGCGATCTTGCAAATGTTTGAGCGGAACCGAGTGAGTCGAAACCGTTTCGAAGCGATGCAGTCTCACGAAGGCAAGTCGGACGAGCCTTAACATTTCGAACAAGTGTGCTAGCCGATAGCACATGCTGGTGGATGAGGTTGCAAGATATGCTGTGAGGTAGCATAGGCTGATGGATGGTGTTTTTGTGTATGCGTATGGAGATAGTCACGTGAATTATGTTACTGAATGATGTGGAATGAGAAGGATCGAGGTCGTGGAAGTTGCAAAGAATGAAGTACTCAAGAAAAGAGACGATGATCGAATGACTTATACGATTATGAAAGACGATCGGGCTCGGGCATTGATCTTGAACTAAGACTATGGAGCAGGCTTGAACTTGTTCTGTAGACGGGAAATTTGCGATCCGGGGTGATCCCAATAGGCGTTGCGGAACTGGTTGCGCCAAGGATCCTCTTGGTTGGCCATGTTTAACGCCTCCAGCAAGTCAGCTGGGTCGTTATAGTGTCCCAACCCTGGATACCAAACTCGTTCTTCATGTGGGCGCGGATAGTGGAGGAAGAAGGGATCCAGCAAGATGTCGAGATCACAGTGGCCCAAGAGCATGCCGTTGAGTATCTTCTTCAAGAAGTTCTTTCAACGTGCTCCAAAGCGAGATCGGCGCTGCTTTCGTTGACGCCAGAACGTTTGCATAAACCTTTCGGATCGTCGCTGGTCCGGAGAGATCGGGAAAGCATGAGTAGATCCCCATAGAGCTTGCCGATGAGTGGACTTAAGCTCCAGGTAACGATGACTCATGTCTCGATACCATCCAGTCATGGTGAACGAAATCGAGTTCACGGGGACCACGATATTGTCCCAGGGGGCCGTAGCGTAGAAAGCCTGGATGTGCTGCCGCAAAATCAGCCCAGAGACCCAAGTCCCCGTCGGAAGAGCTCGTTCATGACTGTGGAAGGGGAACAGAAATTTCTGGGTTTGTGGTAGTGGTAAAACAGCAGCTCAATGGTCACTGCTGGCATGGGGCACGTTGACATTGTGACGCTGCTCCAGGCGATCACCGAGGGGTTCGAAGAAGCCGACCTGGACAAGGTGATGGTCGAAGAGGAGAGGGGCGAGGAGGCGGCGCCCAAGATGGAGCCGCTCACGTTCGACACGAAGTTTGAGCGCGTGCCGAGCAACTCGCTCTTTGGCTTTGCGACCAAAGCCGACGGGCCCGTGTTGCCGCACCAGCAGGAGAAGAAAGTGGACGAGCTGCGTCGTCAACTGGGGGATGCAACGGCGCTTGTCTCGGCAGAGTCGGACGAGGTCGAGAAGGAGAACGAGAACTCGAAGACGGAGGAGGTGCAGATGTTGCAGAGGCAGCTGGAAGTGAATCCGGACCACGAGGAGGTGTTGATGAAATGCTACCAATTGAGCAACCTGTTCAGCTCTTGTTGGAAGACAATAACACTAGTACCACAACAGAAAACAGCATTGTGCCATACAATGAAAACCATGAAGCCAGTGGGAGTGAAGATGACGAACCTCCTTCCAAGCGATCGCGAATAAACAGCGATGTGGCATTGATAGCAGAAGTTGCCATGATAGCTCGTGATTTACCTGGCTCTTATGCGGAGGCAGTGAATGGACCTGACAGATACCAATGGATTAAAGCTATTGAGAATGAATTTGCGGCTCATGAGCGTAACAAGACGTGGACACCAATTGTACGCAAGCCTGGAATGAAACCAATTGGATCGAAGTGGGTATGGGCTAAAAAGAGTGATGGTCGATACAAAGCACGACTTGTGGCGCTCGGATTCCTGCAACAATATAGCAGGTCATCGGGTTTCTTCATCGTACTGGCTTCTGGCAGGGGTCCTTAAGCTCTTGGGCTCATAACCTGTTATTAACTTCACGTTCATCTAACGCGATCGAACGACTGATCTTGATCGTACCAGTCTCCAGATCAAGCACCCTGTAACCCTTGGTGTGTCTTGCATATCCTAACAGCATGCAGCGAAACCCTTTCGCGTCGAATTTCGTGCGCTTTGAGTCATCGATATGTGCGTATTCAAGTGAACCAAATACACGTAGGTGAGAAATTTCGGGCTTCGTCTTAAAGCACAGTTCAAAAGGAGTCTTCTCCTCGTGATTGCAGTTCGTGGTTCTGTTAAGTAAATACACCGCCGTATTCACAGCTTCGGCCCACCACTTCTTTGCCACCCGCTTGTAATGCATCATGCTTCTGGCCGTCTCAACAATCGTACGGTTCATCCGTTCAGCAACACCGTTTTGTTGAGGACTGTAGGGTACTGTCTTCTGATGGATGATGCCGTGTTTCTTGCAGTACGAAGCAAACCTCTTGTTTTTGTATTCACCGCCATTGTCAGTACGTATGGCCTTAATACGAAATCCACACTGCTGCTCCATCTCGGTCCGAAATTCAATGAACTTCGACAGTACTTCACTCTTGGACTTCAGAAAATATACAGTCACTAATCTTGAAAAATCGTCCACGAGAGACAATACGTATCGTGACCCACCAGGAGTTGGGTTCTTCATAGGGCCCATGACGTCAGAGTGAATAAGCTGCAGTGGCTGCGTTGTCTTTGTCTTCGACTCTTGTGGAAAACTCGCGACACACAGTTTCCCTTGTAGACACCCTCCACACAAATTCTTGTTCGTGTCAGGTACTACATTCGGTAGTCCTTCCGTAGCCTCCTTTGTCTTTTTAAACTTGTTGTGGCTAATGTGACCCATTCGTGCATGCCACAGCTCCCACTTGTTACCAGCGTCTTCATGTTCTACCAACATCGCGTGCTCAAATTCCACATCAAGAGTGTACACGCTTCTCATGCGCTTCGCAGAAATCATCAACACATTATCCTTGTAGATACCGCAGTATTTTTCACCGAATCGAACGTTGTACCCACGCTGGACGATCTTGGGAACCGCTAGTAGTCGTCTGTCCAGCGTTGGAATGTGCAATACTTCATTCACAGTCACTGCTGTACCATTCGTACAGCGAAATCGAATGCTTCCTCGTCCAATTGCATTCATGACCGCACCATCGGCAACGCGAACTTGAATGGCTTCTCTCAATTTCTCGTACTCAAAGAAATCTTCTTCGGCTGGGGTCATATGTGACGAGGCGCCGCTGTCCAACAACCATCCTTTTTTTAATCCGTTTGTGGCCGTGAATGCCATTTCATTTCCATCATTCTTGGTGGCAGATCGGCACTCAAACTGCTTGTGTCCGATCTTGTTACAGCGGTGACACTTCCCACGAAACGGCTGTTTCTTCTTCCAGCTCTCTTCTGCACCACGTTGTTTGCGCATTCCACGACCACGATCCTGTTTATGGCCTCCACGACCAACGCGGAAAGCTCCTTCGGAGACCTCTTGCTGCTGCTTCTTCTTGTGTTCCTTCAACAGCTTTTCTTTCACATCCACCATCGTCACACCCATGGAATTCTCAATGATGGACACAATCATCTCGTACTCTGCCGGTAAGCTACTCAGCAGAACTGTCATCTGGCGTGCGTCGTCCATGGTATCGCCCACCGCCTCCATACTCAAAACAAGTTCATCGAAACGGTCGAGGTGGCTCACCATGTCGCCTCCCTCATCCATACGAAATTCGTGCAATCGACGTGTCAGTGCCACTCGATTCTGAAGGTTTGTCTTGTTGTAGTAGTCGCGTAGTGTTTCCCATGCTTCCTTCGCAGTGCGAGCATGTCGGATCTTCGTCTGATGCTTTACTTCGATCCCTTGAGCAATAATAGCAAACGCCTTCATGTCCTTGACCTTCCAATCCTCCGTCATCTCCTGCTCCGACTTCACTTCCAAGATGTGCTCTAGCAGGCCCTTCCATGGGTGTGACGATGGTGGATGTGAAAGAAAAGCTGTTGAAGGAACACAAGAAGAAGCAGCAGCAAGAGGTCTCCGAAGGAGCTTTCCCAATTGGATCGAAGTGGGTATGGGCTAAAAAGAGTGATGGTCGATACAAAGCACGACTTGTGGCGCTCGGATTCCTGCAACAATATGGTATCAACTTTTTCGAGACGTACGCGGCTGTCGCCAGTATGAACTCCATCAGGATGCTATTGTCGATTTGCTGCGCATCAGGATATGTGATCGACCAGCTTGATGTTGATACGGCCTACCTGAATGCCGACCTACAAGAAGAAGTATACTTGTTACCACCCAAAGGGATGAAAATTGGCAGCGAGTTTGTACTTAAATTGAATCGCGCGCTTTACGGACTTAAGCAGGCTGCAAATGCCTGGAATAAGACGATTCACAATGCATTACTGGAGATGGGATTTGTCGCGTGCGGTGCTGATCGATGCATATACAAGATAAAGGATGGTGAAGGCTGGGCGTACGTGTGATTATACGGTGATGATATGATTGTGGCTGCAAAAGAAGCAACCACGGTACGCAAGGTGAAAGAACAAATCTCTCAGCGGTTTCAAACCAAAGACCTTGGTCCAGTGAAGCACTTGCTTGGAATGGAAGTTATGTACGACCGAAAGAAGCGTGAGATGTTTATTTCGCAACAAAGATACATCGAGGAGACTGCAGACATGTTTGGACAGACTCAAGCCCGACCAACTGGTAACCCATGTGATCAGAGCATGAAACTGTCCAGCGCAAACAGTCCAAAGTCCGATGTCGAAAGACAAGCCATGAGTCGTACACCGTACCGCCAATTGCTGGGACGACTGCTGTTTATAGTGACCACGACCAGACCAGACGCAGCATTTCCTGTGAGCCAACTTGGACGATTTGCAGAAAACCCTGGCTCACAACAATGGAAGGCACTGATCAAAGTGCTAAGATACCTCCGCTCGACGAGTGGTTTTGGATTACACTACAGTGTTGACAAACTACAGCAACAACTAACAGCGTATAGTGACGCCGATTGGGGAAACAGCTTGGACGACCGTCGATCGGTATCTGGTGTTTTGCTGGTGCTTAATGGAGGCCCTGTTATATTTAAGTCTAAGTACCAACGCACCGTTGCATTGAGTACTTCTGAGGCTGAATACATGGCGCTAAGCATGTGCACTCAAGACATACTATGGGCAAGGATGTTAATGGCTGACCTCGGATTCGAGCAGAAGAATCCTACTGTCATCTACGAGGATAATCAAGGAGCCATTGCTCTCGCAACAAACCCAGGATACCATGCGCGGACTAAACACGTAGACATACGTCACCACTTTGTCCGAGAGAAAGTTCTGGCCGGTGATATAAAAGTGATCTACAAGGAGACGGAACATCAACTTGCCGACATACTAACGAAGGCACTCGGCACCAAGCGATTCCAGTACCTCCGTGCCGGAATGGACATCAAGGTACGTGATGGACCCGAGCATCAACAGTGAGTGGGAGTGTTGATGTGTGCACTGTCAATGCACGGTCAACAAAGCCAACTGTGATTTGCTACGCACAAGTGACAAGACAGCGATGATACGACAGGGTGTAAACGGTTCACATGCAGTCTGATGATTCTAGAACTACCTTGAGTGTATGTTCTAGAATCCATCAAGATCAGGGAAAGCTACAAGGTAGAAGAAGATAACACGACGAGTAAGTTCATAGGAAAACTAATTCAATACACTTTCCAATTTTCCTTCGACATAACAGGTTATGAGCCCAAGAGCTTAAGGACCCCTGCCAGAAGCCAGTACGATGAAGAAACCCGATGACCTGCTTGAAACAGACAACTACTTCCATTGGGAATTCAATATGAAGATGTTGAAATGGAAGAGCACGAAATTGTCGAAGATGTGGAGATGGAAGTACCGAGTTCTGACAATGACATCAGTAACACACCTTCGAGTGAGACAAGCAATCATTATCTTGCAAGAAATATGAACAACGAACAACATCAACACACTTCCCAAGTAATTCAACAAGGACCTCGTCACCAAGAACTCGAATTACACAATCCGCACGACTCTGGAGCGATGGTGTTCCGTCCACAACTTAAAAGTCGTTCCGGTCGCGAGCATCAGTATCGTGTTCTTACTGACGATGCCAGTGGGAGAAGTGAATCCGGACCACGAGGAGGTGTTGATGAAATGCTACCAATTGAGCAACCTGTTCAGCTCTTGTTGGAAGACAATAACACTAGTACCACAACAGAAAACAGCATTGTGCCATACAATGAAAACCATGAAGCCAGTGGGAGTGAAGATGACGAACCTCCTTCCAAGCGATCGCGAATAAACAGCGATGTGGCATTGATAGCAGAAGTTGCCATGATAGCTCGTGATTTACCTGGCTCTTATGCGGAGGCAGTGAATGGACCTGACAGATACCAATGGATTAAAGCTATTGAGAATGAATTTGCGGCTCATGAGCGTAACAAGACGTGGACACCAATTGTACGCAAGCCTGGAATGAAACCAATTGGATCGAAGTGGGTATGGGCTAAAAAGAGTGATGGTCGATACAAAGCACGACTTGTGGCGCTCGGATTCCTGCAACAATATGGTATCAACTTTTTCGAGACGTACG